ACAATCATTAGCACGATGTCCCGCGCCACCACATCAGAAACACTTCACACCAGCAGACGCTCTCCCTTCTCTGGGCTTCTTATCAACAACAGCCTTATGTTTCCCCTTATCAGCAGGAACACTGTAAGGAGTACCACCAAATCTCTGCTTACCCTTCCGGTCATTCACAGCCTTATAGTGTGCAATCCTGGCCCGATTGTCATTATCATAAATTCTGCTTCTGCTTACCAGCTCAGGATAATTCCTGATCTTCTGACAAGCGATCCCCATCTTAATCTCCAGACGCAGCCCGTTTTCAAACTTCAAACACTTGGAGGTCATCACCTCTTCAGTATTGGAATGAGGACAATACTGTACCAACCCTTCAAATTTAGCAACATACTCTGCTACAGTCAGATTGCCCTGCTTTAGCTCCAGAAACTCTATCTCCTTAGCACTTCGTATATCTTCCGGAATACTTCTCCAGAAAACCAGTTCGAACCACATCTCAAGTAATAGCGGTTCCTACAGCCTCCAATCTCTGGCGACTATTGCCCCACCAAGCCTCAGCTTCATGTTCCAGCATATGAGTGCCGAACCTCACTTTTTGCTCATCATTACAACCCATTGTCCTGAAAATTTTCTCAATTGCCTTCAGCCATTTCTGTGCAGCTTCAGGATCCAAAATCCCCCCTTCAAACGTCAGTGGCTTGTTACTCTAAAACTGTGCCAAATCTCTGAATTGTGCACCCGCAGCTTGGTTCTGATAAGCAACCACCTGCGCCATCGCTTGCATAGCCGCAGCCAAAGCAGCAGCATTCCTCCCTGTCATACTACTCAACTAAAACAACACTAGGTTAAAAGGTACACAACCTCTATCCTACGGACAAACTCAACTACTACACTGGCCGGACGAACCGACCTGCCCTGATACCAACTTGTAACACCCCACTTCCCAAATTAAAATAAAATATGATTAAGTCAAATAAATATCAGAGTTTCCATTCCAAAAGTGGGATATCACATTCACAAAATTTCAACAAAACACTTCATTAGATGGTTTTCAAAATATACAGCGAAAACAATCATTTGTACATCACTCTAGGCCATCTGCCAATTTACATAAAATATTCATTAAGAGAATTCATCAAAATAAGATACGCCACAGGAATACAACAAATCCAGTCATAATAAAAGTAAACACCCAAGTCCCATGTTACGTATCAGAGCATCCTAAGACTCGACCCGCACACCACTATCCAAGCTAGCTATGCACCTGGATTATTTGTACTTCCGAAGAAGCACAGACCACAATAACAACAAAGGGGTGAGAAAACATGATCAAAATTATCGGTAATAGAATACATGAATAAAAGGCAGTAAATAAACAAATCATCACCCCACCAACATCAAACACGACCTACTGTCCAATCACCAAATAACATACAATAATGCAAGAATGCAACTCAACACCATACATGCGGTACCGACTGATTGGTTCATTCAATCGAACCCCGGAATAGATCACTTACGCTTCTCCTGAGACATGATCTATTCCCACCATTCTCCACAAAGGAGTACGGGTGAATCACTTACGCTTCTCCTAAGACATGATTCAACTCCGCAACTCTCCACAAAGGAGTACGGATGGATCACTTACGCTCCTCCTGAGACATGATCCATCCCACCAAGACACCATGCTATGCACAACACCAAATGCACAACACACAAACATCAAGCACACTAAGTGCACACGATCCTACTGATCACATCACCATACATCATACATATGTATATATATATATATATACACACCAATCAATTATGTCAATCAAATTAAATAATAGGGAAATTACATTTGAACACCGAGTACACACGATCCTCCCGATCACCTCACCATGCATCATATACATATTACATATATATGTCTTACCCACCAATTAATTATGTCAATTAAATTCAATATTTCATAATTTCATCTTTAAACACCAAGTATGCACTCTTCGCCACTAAACCCCATCTCTCTACCTATCACAACCCAAGGAATCCTACAAAATGAATCACAGAGCAAAACTGCACAAAATCACGTTCTGTTACGCTCGCTGGCTCACTTGCCTAGCGAGGCCTCAGCAAACGCTCGCTGCCTCATTCGCCTAGCGAACCTGCTAGCGAAGACAGACAGTGGCTACTGGAAGTACTCGCTACCCAACTCTCCTAGCGAATTCCTAGCGAATGCTCGCTACTAGCTCGTTCAGCGAAGGTGCTGGCGAACGTCTACGATTTCACAAAACCCTCATTGTTCAGAAATTCATCAGAAGCTCAAAACCCATCTGATTCTCACCAAACCAGTCCCAGTAGTCTTAGCCTAGCATTCTACGACTAAACCACACTACTTATTCCAGACCTTACATGATAAAATACCAACTCTACCGATTAAATCATTTTCGAACTAAACGGTAAACTACTCAGAATCACCCAAACCGCTTCAAACGATTCTCATACAATCACATGCAAGGAGTCCACCATGACAGAAATGATCAGAAACACAACAACATACTAATCATAATCATCAAATTCCTATGGGGTTAAGGAATCCCCTCTACCAAATATTCATGCAATTACCAATCCCAATCGGTTTCTCCCCCCTTACCTCGATTAACCGCTTCGATCGTTGAAGCATTCCCAAGAATCCGACTGTCTAGCCTTCTTCTTCTTCCTCTTGTTCTTCTTCCTCAATTTTTCTCCCACTAGACCGTGTTCTTCTTTCCTTCTCTCCAAAACTCACTAATACCCCCTTATAACTCTTATTCCTTATTTCTTTATTCCAATAATAATTCCAATAATAATAATAATAATAATAATAATAATAATAATAATAATAATAATAATAATAATAATAATAATAATAATAATAATAATAATAATAATTTTATTACTATTAATTATCAAATTATTATCATTACCAATTATATTATATTAATATTAAAGGCTATGGTTTCTTACATAATTCCTACAAAAGACACGCCGAAATAAAATAACACCGGAAAAACTAAATAATTAAAATGGGTGTTACAGTCATCACCGGATCACGTAAGACATGGGCGCTGTGGTTCATCCATTTACGACTCTCAGATTTTTCAAAATCCTTCCAGTCGAAAAAGTCCCATTGATCATTAACTCTCTTTAGATGCCATTTACTGATGTCAACAGGAGGATCTAGGATGTTTTGATACATTCCAAATTGTAGTTTGACACGGTAATTGTTGTGCATCTCCGCAGTTGTGAATCTAATGATCAGAACGCATGCCGTCCAAATGCCAACATCTTCCTCTCTGAATTACATGTCTGAAACCAACGAGCTCAATATATGGTTGAATTAATTCGTCGGGTGCAACATATTCATGGGTACGACACCGAAACTTAGATACTTCTTACATAATTGTCAAATAAAATAAAAATTAACTAGGACATTAAAAATTAACATATACAATAAAAATGAGCACTTACCGCTTTGGTGAGATCAACATATTATAGGTTGACATCACTTTTCGCAATAAGAGGCGAAAGATGGAGTGTAGTGTTAACGTCAGGTCAAGTATTCAATGAAATCATAATGAAATTGATGAAAGAGGATACTATCAGAGCCAACACACATGCAGTTATCGTCTTTGACCGTCATAGACAAACATTCAGCGTACAAGAAACAATAGACCATAATGAGGGGATGCCCAATTTATCATATGCTGTCAGACTAAACAAATATTAGTGTGTCTGTGGCAAGTACCAGGCCTTCAGTGTACCTTACTCACATGTCATTGCAGCATGCGCACATGCTCGTCAAGATGCTTATGGCTATCTATCTGATGTTTTCAAGAAGATTAATGTTATGAACGTATACAACGAAGGCTTCGCAGTGCTACTAATGGAGGATTATTGGCCTCCATACCAAGGTGACATAGTTTGGCACAACAATGAGATGAGAAGAAAGAAAAAGGGACGCCCAAACAACAAGTGTATAAGAACCGAAATGGATACGCTGATAAAATGATAAGATTGTGCAGTATATGTCGTCAGCCCGGACACAACCAAAAAAATTGTCCCAACTTCGGAGAAACATCTGCATCATGATTTACCTTATCGTTTCATTTGTTGTAACCAAATATTTTCATATATTGATGAGTCTTGTTACAACGATCTTAAACACATACAACACTAACAACACACAACACATACTAATTTTATAAAAGATAAAACATTAACTAGGTGATTACAAAATCCCTAACTGATTACAACAATCAAACTAATTTCATTCGGTTCAAACATGACTTTCCTCACATCTTTGTCGGTCTTAACACGAACCCATCCACGCAGTCGATCAAGTCTCTCGATACTACAGATTTTTTCTCTTTCACCAATGTCTCCTTCCAACCACCAATTCAGCTCCTTCTTAAGTTGATTGAAACTTTGTATGTTTCAAAACAACATGTCCATCTGAGGCTTCCCTCTCGAATAGACGACTTTTTCCCACCAGTGACGATACATGTTATCAGTAGAACAAAGATATGAGATGAGATGTGGAAGTAAATGATCAAAACACCTCTATTTATAAAAAAAAAAATTCAATTTCTAAGGAGTCTCCAGATGAATTGACGACTCCCTTATGAGGTTATAACACAGGCAGATGCCAATTGAATGGGAGATTGCATGAGGTGTCTCCAATCCAATTGGAGACACCCTTATACCCTTAATAAATGGTCGTCAATTGGAATGACGCCCTTGGACACTCAGAAATCCTAACTAGAATACTTTAAAAATATTTTTAAAAAGAGATATTTTGAGATTTTTTTTATTTTTAAATTGAGTTATTTGGATAAAAAAATCACATTTATTAAACAAAACAAAAAAGGACTAAAACTATGTTTAAATCTTAAAAATATCTGTTGATATGGATAGAGTAACCGCTGTGGTCGTTAAAACAGAGATGACACACAGTCCTTTCCTTTGCCACATCCTTGAATCCCATGATGAACTACTCAAATCAATATCTTCCCAGAACCTATTTTCTCAAAGTTCCCACCTTTCACCCTTTCTTCAAATTCAACCCATTCCCATACACTAACTATGCTTCAAACAGAACTCACGCTCTTTCATTCACCATCAACTGCAACCTCAAAAAGGTGGGGAAGAAGGACTTATTGTCCCAGAAGATTGTCTTATCAGAAGCTCCTCCTCCACCACTCACACAGGATAATGATGTTCCTTCAACCTCAAAGGAAAAGAAAGGTTCCAACGGTTTGGTGAAGAAGTTGAGCAAAAGGGTCTTGCAGATTCTCTCTAATTTGCCTTTGGCTATTGGGGAAATGTTCACCATTGCCTTTTTAATGGGATTAGGTATGTATCAAAAGTTTTTTTCTTTTCTCTATTGTTTGGATTGACTTGAGCTTATATACTAACATAGGTACTTGAGACTGATTGGGATAGCTTATGAATTCAGCTTAAAACACATGCATAAGCTCTCTTTTTATACTTACTTCCATAAGCTTTTTAGATAACTTATGATGATAACTGGTAGCAAATGTACTTTAGAACCTGTTTGGATTGGCTTGTTTGAGCTTATCTACAAGCATAAGCACTTATGAGACTACATGGAAGAGCTTCTGAAAACAAATTATGGCTTATGTAAAAAGAGCTTGACTTTATTTTATCTTTTGTTATAGAAATAGCTTATACATAAGTACTTGTATGATAAGCTTTTATGCTATAAGCACTTAATAACTAAAACTTTGCCTTTTATGCCAGGCACTTTTATTGATCAAGGTGAGACTCCTGAGTTTTATTTCCAGAACTACCCTGAAGATCATCCTGTGTTAGGATTTTTTACTTGGAGATGGATTTTCTTCCTTGGTTTTGATCACATGTATTCCGCCCCTATATTTCTTGGCATGTTGGTTCTTCTTGCTGCATCCCTTATGGCCTGCACATACACGACACAGCTCCCACTCATCAAGGTTTCTAAAAGGTTTGGTTGTCAGTTTCCTGTGTTCATAATGCTTGGCTTGTGAATTTTCTTGATCGCTTAAGGCATAATTTGTTTCGTAGATGGTCGTTTATGCACTCTGCCGAGGTTATACGCAAGCAAGAGTTTTCAGAATCGTTGCCTAGGGCATCAATCCAAGATGTTGGTACTATACTAATGGGAGCTGGATATGAGGTAATAATTCCATGCCATAACTTATGACATGTTCATAAGCTGTTTTCAGCTTATTTCCATAAGCACTACAAGATAGTTTATGAAAACAACTTATATGCAAATATTGACTATATTTTACCATTTGTTATAAAAATAGCTCAACATAAGCACTTATAGTTACTGGCCAACAATAGACTTCACTTGAATACTTTTATGTGTTATGACAAAAATGTAATTTTGGATTATAGGTATTCTTGAAAGGACCAACGTTGTATGCTTTTCGTGGACTTGCCGGTCGGCTAGCCCCAGTTGGAGTTCATATAGCACTTCTATTGATAATGGCTGGAGGAACTTTAAGTGCTTTAGGGAGCTTTAAAGGTTCAGTTAATGTGCCTCAGGGGCTGAATTTTGTTGTAGGAGATGTTCTAGGTCCTATTGGCTTTCTTTCCACTCCGACTGATGCTTTTAATACAGAGGTTCATGTCAACAGATTCTCTATGGATTATTATGAAAGTGGAGAGGTAAATGTTAGATTTTTGTTTTCTATGAAATAGTGCAATGAAAATTGCAACTGAATTCATGAAATTTCAACCAGAATAGGCCAACGTGTAAAGTTTTCTGCAATTTTTATGGACAATTTTGTTTTTGATTGTGTTACAGGTTTCACAGTTCCGCACCGATCTTTCCCTCTTGAACATGGATGGGAAAGAAGTAATGAGGAAAACAATTAGTGTAAATGATCCGTTAAGATACGAGGGTATCACCATATACCAAACAGATTGGAGTATTTCAACTCTACAAGTTCTCAAGGACAATGAAGGACCTTTTAATTTGGCTATGGCACCTCTTAAGATCAACGGAGATAAGAAACTTTATGGTACTTTTCTACCTTTTGGAGATGTTAACTCTCCTAATGTTAAGGGAATGTAAGTGTTTAAATATCCACCATAACAAAATATTCTTTTCGATATTTGGAAGGTCTTAGATTGTTTTTAGGAGTATTTTCTCATTCTTTTTACAAACTTTTGTCGAATTTTAGCTCTATGCTTGCTCGTGACCTGCAATCAATTGTCCTTTATGATACGGAAGGGAAATTTGCCGGAGTTAGACGACCTAATTCAAATCTCCCAATCAACATTGATGGCTCAGAAATTGTCATTGTTGATGCAATAGGAAGTAGTGGCTTGGACTTGAAGGTGTGAGCTTAAGCGAAGTTTGGTTATTTTCCTTTATAACCGAAATTAGTTATGTTACCTTAGTTGTTAACTCACTGCTTAATGATTACGCAGACTGACCCTGGTGTGCCAGTTGTGTATGCTGGCTTTGGTGCTCTAATGCTCACCACTTGCATCAGCTACTTATCTCACTCACAGGCGAGTCTCTATATTTATATCATTCTTTCTCCAATATTGTCGTTTATTTTTAGATTTTTGTTACAAACATCGTATGCATAATCGGTAGCTTAGTTGTGCTTTCATTATCCATGTTCAATTATATATCGAAATGTTAATGAACTTTTTGGTCAATTGAAAGATATGGGCGTTACAAGATGGGACAACAGTTGTTATCGGAGGGAAGACAAACAGAGCAAAGTTAGAGTTTCCGGACGAGATGAACCTCTTGCTTGACAAAATCCCTGAAATAGTTGAATCATCATCTCTATCTAAGCAAGCTGATAGCATTGGTGGCACTGGTTAGCTAGCTCATAGATTATATAGTAATGATAGAGTACTTGGACGATATACAACCATACAAATTGGATCCGATCGATGAGTCAATCAACAAAACTTTTGCAGATACCAAAGCTCTTAAAGTATATTACATGTATATTTCATTTATTTTATTTAATAGGGCCAAATACCAACACTCTTAAAGTATATTCTCATTGATGATTTCAGTTGAGTTCTACTTTACGCGAGATGTAATCCTTCTTCCCCTTTCAAGTTGAACAACTTGATAAGCGCATCTCCCACAACCTGCGTGAAAATTAATGATGTAAACGTTGTTAAACGAACTGTAATCGGATATTTCATCAAAAACTGAATCGGAGGAATAACATTTGAAATTTGAAAAAATACAACATAGCCATTTGCACCAGTTACATCTTATGAAAGTAACTATCTGGATTGTAACGGCATGTTCGCTGTCAACTAAAAGTATATTCATTACTCAAGTAGAATTATACTGAAGAAATTTACAAAAACCGAATAAGAATTGAAGGCAGAGGCCACAAGTTTTTATCACTTCACGTAAGGCAATAGAAAATACCTTGTCTGGTGTGGATGCACCAGATGTTACACCCATCTTTAATGGACCCTTTGGTAGAAAGTTCTCGGTCTCCACAAGCTTGCCATGCTGAAAGATAAAAACATAAACATTATTATTAATAGTGAAAAAGAGCTAACAACAGTTGAGGATGTATAAATCTCTTTTATCAATGCTTACAGTCAACTTGTGTGCTATTCTGTTTCCTGGACCAATTCTTTGCTCACTGTCGATCCAGAAAGAAGGAATTCCGCGTTCCTCAGCTATCTCTTGCAGGTGAGATGTATTGCTCGAGTTCCAGCCACCAACTACTAACATAAGATCCATATCTTTCTCTACCAGCTTGTAAATGGCATCTTGTCTCTCCTAAAAGGGAAAGAATTCAATTCAACTTTTTTTATTAGAATGAAGACATGTTTAGAACAAATTGTGTTGAAGCTTATGAAGTGCTCGTTAACGTTTTCCACGCCAAATTTGCGCATCATAGTCCCCTCTACTAGTTTCCCTGTGAACCGACGAACAAAATACAGATCACAGTTAATTATAATTTATGAATAGAGTACAAGAGAATCCATATGCAGCTAACTCCAAAAAAAGATAAAAGCTAACCAATCTCTTCAGTCTCTCCTTTCAGCATTGTTGTCTGATTTGCAATGCCAAGTTTTATAAGGTCATTGTCTGGATCAAAACCCTTAGAAACTGCAAACTTAAATTTCTGTACACGAAAAATAAAATAATCACGGCATTGAACACTACAGGTTTTTAAAAGCAATATCGATCACAGTACAAAAGTCGCACCTCGTATAATACCTCTTTAGTTGAACTGGATCCATTAAGTTCACCACCGAGAATATAATCGCAAACATATTCAGCCTGGATAAATTTATCAGTTATACAAAAGTTATAAAAAATTTCTTCAAGTAAACATAGAATAGACTACTGGCAGAAACTTAGAACAAACCTCTGCCATAGTTTTCACAATTATGTACTTTCCAGCAAAAGAAGCAGTTGCTACAGTTTCCTCATGAGCATATTTACCATGAATTATTGAGGTATAATCTCCTTTTTTGTGCTTCTCAACAACATTACATACCTTCAAAACAATTCATCGAAGAAATAATCTCAGTATCTGTTGATGCATATTGATATATGAACTGAATAGATGCAAACTGGCAAAATATAAAACCATGCTCACCTTTGAAACCCACTGGCAAGTCGTATCAACGATTTGAACATTTTTCTCACTCAAAATCAACATCTCATCGACTGCGGCTCCAAAAGCAGGCAAGATGACTACATCACCCTCGTTGACAACCTCAAATTGTTTCTTTCCTTCTGTCATAGGAATATTCTCCACACCCATCTCCTCTAGCCGCTGCATCGATAATTTATCAAAGCTCAAGAATTAACATATTCATATATGGTTGAAGGTTATAGGAAACAATGCATATACCTTATTAACAGTTGGATTGTGAATGATTTCATTGGTAATCCAAATTTTGTGATTAGGAAACTGTTTTCTTGCCTCATAAGCAATTTGAACAGCCTTGTCAACTCCCCAACAAAAGCCAAAAGCTTCCGCTAGCATAACAGTGACATTACCCCATGTATACTCGTATCCATTTTCTTTCAATATCTCAATGATGTCACCTGAAATTACAAAGAAAAATGGACACGAGCAAGCAGTTATCGAAAGTATATTGACTTGGAAGAAATAAAGAGGAAAGAAAGAACATGACATACTGGTGTACTCGTGTTTCATGAGTTTGAGTGTCTCTTCCTTGCGTCCGAAGCCTTTGCGGTTATAATTCTCACCTCTGGTGAGGTTCTTTCGGAACACCTTGGGATCGAAATCGGAGTCAGATGAACAACTGACTGAGAAGACTTTCGGGCAGCGGAATCTGCCTGGAGAAGGGACGTGGATGCGAGTGGCGGGGAGAGCGGAAAAGTGTGCACGGAAAGCCATTGAAGATAGAGTCAAGAAAAGACAGCGGATATTCGTATGGTGTTGTGAATTGTATTTGATGATTTTAGTTAATTTAATAGTAGAATGGAAATAAAATAGAATAGGCGTAGATGAAGTTTGTTGTCCTTTTTTGCATTGCATGGTATATCATGGGTGAGTGGTGTTAGGTTTGAAAATGTTACTATTTTAAAATTGTTTTGAAGACGGTTTCTTGTGGGAACGGAGGGAGTTTGAGTTCCTTTGAATTTTTGGACCATATATCATATACTAATTCTTAGTTTTTTGTCATTAACCCTTCACCATGTATTAGTTAATAATATTTATTGTATCTCTTTTTGTCAAAACAAAATACTTTCTCTTTGTTAAACTAAATAATATTTATATAGAACTGACATAGATCACCATTGCATCACACATTCGATTCTATTTGCTATCCACATCCTCAACCCTTCTATCATGGATGGTGAACAAGCGGGTAGAAACTCTAGCCAATAATAGTTATGATGACAATCAAGATCCCGCAACATAAATGTGTGTTGCCATGGATGATTGCGACATCAGATTAGAGGACAACGCCCTTCACATCCAACCGCGCTAATATGATCTTGATCTTCTTAAAGAGACTAAGGTTTTAGACCCTCAAACTCTCTTTTATGAAATATAGTGACAAATGATTTTAAGTTGTCAATTTGATATATGCATCAACCCTTAAAATCATATATTTTCCATCAATAAACAAATGGATTTATTGAAGCGTTTGATTTTCTGAAATGCAAACTTCTCTCTAGAACTTTTAGAGACGCGACATTAAGGTGATACATGAGCATACTCCCAATAACAATCTACCAGGACCTAGTAAAAAATTGGTCCATTAGTTTGTAGTGAGCACACACGGAAGGATGTCTATCACCATCCTATTTAACATTCGTCAAGGCCCTTCAGAATATTTAACGAAGTAACTCACCCGCTTTAATGAGGCGACCATTAAAATCGTTCATTCCAACCAGGAAATATTGTAGGAGCATTCTAAAGCAGACTGAATGCTAGGCATTTTATAAATTCCTCTCCCAAAGGCTTGATGAATCCTTTGAGAAGGTAGTGATACACGCAAAGTGCTGGATAAAGAGCTAGGAGAGCAACAACGAGAAAATTCCTGATATGCTAAGGAGTAGATAGATGGAAACTCTAATAGCTCGTAAGAGTCGCATAGAACCATTATACCTCGCCTGTAAGAGACAGTGTAATCTTTAAACAGAGTAGAGACTTGTAGAGAACTTCACGCCCTTAAATACTCAATGTGAGTGGATATGGTGTAAGGTCCTCCATACGCACGACATTCATCGTCCGTCAACCACCAAGTCAAACACCATGAGCCCTGAACTCACTAAGCTGTGTAATTTTCACTAGGCCAAGGGTCACCGCAAGAAAGATTAGTGCTAACTCAAGAAGGAGATTGAACACCTTATCCAAGAGGGTCATTTAAAGAAATACGTCAGAGGAGGCTTCAGACACTAGGCAAATCTAACTCTCAAGGGCAAGAAGTCTTTGGTAGCTATAGGTCTAAGAAGAGAAAGGAACCAAGCAAGAGGCAAAGACATGTTTACGTGTCACGAGGAGGGTTTGTCGAGGGTAGGGAGACTATCTTCTCCCGTAGAAGATGCGCACACCAAATTTTAACCGTAGAAAGTTCACCTTGCAACCTTAATTTAGGCAAGAAGGAAGCTCTATAGTATGAGATCACCTTCTCTAAGAGGGACATTTTAGGCATCTATCCACAAGATAATGACCACATGGTCATAACAGTAAGGTGTGATGACTGAGTGGTTAAGAGAGTGTTAATTGATCAAGAAAACTTTACAAACATCTTATATTAGGAAGATTTAACATAATTAACGACACCCGTAATTTTAGAAACAAAAATACCAATTTTTTAGACATGTTTTAACCAATAAATTCATGATATGTACACAACATCTTGTATGAAAGTAATCTCTATTCAAAATCAAATTATTCTTCAAACTTAGCCTCCTTTTAAGATTTTCATTTGATTTCGCATTGCCAACTTTCACACTCAAAACATTTTTCAACCCCCAAATGTCCAAGCATTGTGCAATCTTATATGCCATTACCTCTCTTCAATGGTTTAAGACATGAGCAAAATTTAAAATATTATTGTGTGATGTCCAATTATTTTGTCTACAAAATATGTTTGGTATGCACATGTAACTCATGTTTTGACATGAATTCTGACCATTTATGATTAGATACACACTTCGACAATGTTGAGAAAGCAAGTTCTTCAAATTTACAAAGACAAAACATCACGTGTTATTGTGCTTCAGGAGATTGGAATAAATCTTGGCTGAAATGCACTTATAACCAAACAAAAAAAACTTTATGATCTGCATGCATATATAAAAACTCTATTTCCACAATCATGTCAACCACTACTTACCAACATTTCGCT